TTAGTTAATGAAATATAAACATATTATAAAAAAATAAAAATAAACCAATACAAAAAGACAACAAAAAAATTTTAAAAATACATATGAGAAAACAGAAAAAAAAAAAAAAAAGAAAAAAAGGAAAGAAAAGATGAAGAAGTGGAGAGAAAAAAGAGAGGAAAGAAAAGGAAATAGAAGGAAATGAGAAAGAAAAGGGAAGAGAGAAAGGAAGAAAGAAAAGAAGAGAGGAAATGACAAAGAAAAGGAAGTAGAAAAAAAAAAAGTAAGAAAAAGAAGAAGGAGACGAGAGGCAGAAGAGAAAAGTAAGAGAGGAAGAAAGGAAAAGAAAGAGAGGAAGAAGAGAAAATGAGGAAAAGGAAGAGAAGTGGTGATATATATAAGGCTTATACGGACCGTTTTCGGTCCGTATAATCCTTATTGGCTCGCCGCACCAAAAAATTTCAATTTTTTCGAGAAAATTTTTGACGCAATAATAATATTCGGACTGAAATCGGTCTGAATATAAATAAATTAGCGCACAATCAGAAAGATTCAAATTTACGGTAAAAATTTGTCGCATAAATTAATTACGAACCAATTTCGGTCCGTATATGTATTAAGCCTACAAGGGATAACATTAACATATTCGGACCGATTTTGGTCCAAATATGTTGGGAAAAAAATTCACAGGGCACATTTTTATTTTTTTCATTTAAGGACATCACCATTTTCTCATGTCTTCAATCCATTCTTGCGAAAACTAATTGCATGTACATCGACCCTACAATCCCTTAGAACCACGAAAGCATCGATTGTCTACCTAAAATTATCTTATAATTGTACTGAATAATATCGTTGCAAAACCACGAATGTATAAGTTTCAAGTTATTAGAGATAATGTTACATAATACTCTTTCGGAGTCACAAGTAAATAAAATTCATTTTTTTTCTTAAGGTTAACCACTTTGGCTTGCAAACATTCAGAATGTTACGGTTTAAAACAAGAGTAGAACGACTTAAGCATGAAATAACCAAAAAAATAAAAAGCTGTTGTTCATGGGCATATACGGACCCATATCGATCCGTATAGATATATATAGACCGGTATCGGTCTGAATATAAGCACTCCGAGAGATTTTTAATACTAAATCTAAATTAAATTAAGTATGAATATATATACAGACCGGTTTTGGTCTGAATATATGCAAATAATCCATAAGCTTCCATGCTTTTCATTTTTCAGATCGATTTTGGTCCGAATATACTAGAAAAAATCCAGAAACTTTTCCCGGTGCACATTTTTATTCTTTTCATTTAAGGAAATTACCATCTTCTCGTGTCCTAAATTCATTCCTGCGGAAACCAATTGCATGTACATCGACCCTACAGTCCCTTGGAACCACAAAACCATCGATTATCTACCTGAAATTATCTTACGATGGTACGGAGTAATATCGTTGTAAAACCACGAACGTATAAGTTGAAGGTTATTAGAGATAATATTACGTAATGCTCTTTCAGAGCCACAAGCAAATAAAATTATTATTTTTTTGTTTAGGTTAACCACTTTGGGATACAAACATTCAGAATGTTACGGCTTAAAACGAGAGTAGAACGACTTAAGAACAAAATAAGAAAAAAAATAAAAAGCTGCTATTCAAGTGTATATACGGACTGATATCGCTCCGTATAAATACATATGGATAGGTATCGGTCCGAATATAGGCATTCTAAGGTTTTTTAATCCTAAAGTTAAATTAAATTAAGTATGAATATATATACGGACCGATTTTGGTCTGAATATTTGCAAAGAATCCAGAAGCTTCCATGCTTTTCATTTTTCAAACCAATTTTGGTCCAAATATGCTAGAAAAAATCCAAAAACTTCTCCCAGTGCACATTTTTATTCTTTTCATTTAAGGACATTACCATCTTCTCGTGTCTTAAATCCATTCCTACGAAAACCAATTGCGTGTACATCGACCCTACAGTCACTTGGAACCACAAAACCATCGATTTTCTACCTAAAATTATCTTATGATGGTATGGAGTAATATCGTTGCAAAACCATGAACGTATAAGTTGAAGGCTATTAGAGATAATGTTACGTAATGCTCTTTCAGAGCCACAAGCAAATAAAATTATTTTTTTTGTTTAGGTTAACCACTTTGGGATACAAACATTTGGAATGTTACAGTTTAAAACGAGAGTAGAACGACTTAAGAACAAAATAACAAAACAAATAAAAAGTTGTTGCTCAGGTGTATATACGGACCGATACTGCTCCGTATAGATATATACGGACCGGTACCGATCCGAATATAGGCATTCCAAGGTTTTTTAATCCTAAAGCTAAATTAAATTAAGTATGAATATATATACGGACCGGTTTTGGTCTGAATATATGCAAAGAATCCAGAAGCTTCCATGCTTTTCATTTTTCAGACCGATTTTGGTCCGAATATAGTAGAAAAAATCCAGAAACTTCTTCCAGTGCACATTTTTATTCTTTTCATTTAAGGATATTACCATCTTCTCATGTTCTAAATCCATTCCTGCGAAAACCAATTGCATGTACATCGACCCTACAGTCCCTTGGAACCACAAAACCATCGATTGTCTATCTGAAATTATCTTACGATGGTACAGAGTAACATCGTTGCAAAACCACAAATGTATAAGTTGAAGGTTATTAGAGATAATGTTACGTAATGCTCTTTCACAGCCTCAAACAAATAAAATTATTATTTTTTTGTTTAGGTTAACCACTTTGGGATACAAACATTCGGAATGTTACAGTTTAAAACGAGAGTAGAACGACTTAAGAACAAAATAACAAAAAAAAGAAAAAGCTGTTGTTCAGGTGTATATACGGACCGATACTGCTCCGTATAGATATATACGAACCAGTATCGGTCCGAATATAGGCATTCCAAGGTTTTTTAATCCTAAAGCTAAATTAAATTAAGTATGAATATATATACGAATCGATTTTGGTTTGAATATATGCAAAGAATCCATAAGCTTCCATGCTTTTCATTTTTTAGACCGATTTTGGTCCGAATATACTAGAAAAAATCCAAAAACTTCTCCCAATGCACATTTTTATTCTTTTCATTTAAGGACATTACCATCTTCAAGTGTCCTAAATTCATTCCTGTGGAAACCAATTGCATGTACATCGACCCTACAGTCCTTTGGAACCACAAAACCATCGATTGTCTACCTGAAATTATCTTACGATGGTACGGAGTAATATCGTTGCAAAACCACGAACGTATAAGTTGAAGGTTATTAGAGATAATGTTACGTAATGCTCTTTCAGAGCCACAAGAAAATAAATTTTTTTTTTTTTTGTTTAAGTTCACCACTTTGGGATACAAACATTCAGAATGTTACGGTTTAAAATGAGAATAGAACAACTTTAGAACAAAATAACAAAAAAAATAAAAAGTTGTTGTTCAGGTGTATATATGGACCGATATCGCTTCGTATAGATATATACAGACCAGTATCAGTCCGAATATAGGCATTCCAAGGTTTTTTAATCCTAAAGTTAAATTAAATTAAGTATGAATATATATACGGACTGATTTTCGTCTGATTATTTGCAAAGAATCTAGAGGCTTCCATGCTTTTCATTTTTCAGACCAATTTTGGTCCAAATATACTAGAAAAAATCCCGAAACTTCTCCCAGTGCACATTTTTATTCTTTTCATTTAAGGACATTACCATCTTCTCGTGTCCTAAATCCCTTCCTGCGAAAACCAATTGCATGTCCATCGACCCTACAGTCACTTGGAACCACAAAACCATCGATTGTCTACCTAAAATTATCTTACGATGGTATGAAGTAATATCGTTGCAAAACCATGAACGTATAAGTTGAATGTTATTAGAGATAATGTTACGTAATGCTCTTTCAGGGCCACAAGCAAATAAAATTATTTTTTTTGTTTAGGTTAACCACTTTGGGATACAAACATTTGGAATGTTACAGTTTAAAACGAGATTAGAACGACTTAAGAACAAAATAACAAAACAAATAAAAAGTTGTTGCTCAGGTGTATATACGGACCGATACTGCTCCGTATAGATATATACGAACCAGTACCAGTCCGAATATAGGCATTCCAAGGTTTTTTAATCCTAAAGCTAAATTAAATTAAGTATGAATATATATACGGATCGGTTTTGGTCTGAATATATGCAAAGAATGCAGAAGCTTCCATGCTTTTCATTTTTCAGACCGATTTTGGTCCGAATATACTAGAAAAAATCCAGAAACTTCTCCCAGTGCACATTTTTATTCTTTTTATTTAAGGACATTACCATCTTCTCGTGTCCTAAATTCATTCTTGCGGAAACCAATTGCAAGTACATCGACCCTACAATCCCTTGGAACCACAAAACCATCGATTGTCTACCTGAAATTATCTTACGAGGGTACAGAGTAATATCGTTGCAAAACCACGAACGTATAAGTTGAAGGTTATTAGAGATAATGTTACGTAATGCTCTTTCATAGCCACAAGCAAATAAAATTATTATTTTTTTGTTTAGGTTAACCACTTTGGGATACAAACATTCGGAATGTTACAGTTTAAAACGAGAGTAGAACGACTTAAGCACAAAATAACAAAAAAAATAAAAAGCTGCTGTTCAGGTGTATATACGGACCGATATCGCTCCGTATAGATATATACAGACCGGTATCGGTCCGAATATAGGCATTCCAAGGTTTTTTAATCCTAAAACTAAATTAAATTAAGTATGAATATATATACGGATCGGTTTTTGTCTAAATATATGTAAAGAATCCAGAAGCTTCCATGCTTTTCATTTTTCAGACCGATTTTGGTTCGAATATACTAGAAAAAATCTAGAAACTTCTCCCGATGCACATTTTTATTCTTTTCATTTAAGGAAATTACCATCTTCTCGTGTCCTAAATTCATTCCTGCGGAAACCAATTGCATGTACATTAACCCTACAGTCCCTTGGAACCACAAAACCATCGATTATCTACCTGAAATTATCTTACGATGATACGGAGTAATATCGTTGCAAAACCACAAACGTATAAGTTGAAGGTTATTAGAGATAATGTTACGTAATGCTCTTTAAGAGCCACAAGCAAATAAAATTATTTTTTTTGTTTAGGTTAACCACTTTCGGATACAAACATTCGGAATGTTACAGTTTAAACCGAGAGTAGAATGACTTAAAAACAAAATAACAAAAAAAAGAAAAAGCTGTTGTTCAGGTGTATATACGGACCGATACTACTCCGTATAGATATATACAGACCGGTATCGGTCCGAATATAGGCATTCCAAGGTTTTTTAATCCTAAAGCTAAATTAAATTAAGTATGAATATATATACGGACCGGTTTTGGTTTGAATATATGCAAAGAATCCATAAGCTTCCATGCTTTTCAATTTTCAGACCAATTTTGGTCCGAATATACTAGAAAAAATCCAAAAAGTTATCCCGATGCACATTTTTATTCTTTTCATTTTAGGACATTACCATTTTCAAGTGTCCTAAATTCATTCCTGCGGAAACCAATTGCATGTAGATCGACCCTGCAGTCCCTTGGAACCACAAAACCATCGATTGTCTACCTGAAATTATCTTACGATGGTACGGAGTAATATCGTTGCAAAACCACGAACATATAAGTTGAAGGTTATTAGAGATAATGTTACGTAATCCTCTTTCAGAGCCACAAGCAAATAAATTTTTTTTTTTTTTTTGTTTAGGTTAACCACTTTGGGATGCAAACATTCAGATTGTCACAATTTAAAACGAGGGTAGAACGACTTAAGAACAAAATCACAAAAAAATAAAAAGTTGCTGTTCAGATGTATATACAGACCGATACCGCTCCGTATAGATATACACAGACCGGTATCGGTCCGAATATAGGCATTCCAAGGTTTTTTAATCTTAAAGCTAAATTAAATTAAGTATGAATATATATATACGGACCGATTTTGGTCTGAATATTTGCAAAGAATCCAAAAGCTTCCATGCTTTTCATTTTTCAGACCGATTTTGGTCCGAATATACTTGAAAAAATCGAAAAACTTCTCCTAGTGCACATTTTTATTCTTTTCATTTAAGGACATTACCATCTTCTCGTGTCCTAAATCCATTCCTGCGAAAACCAATTGCATGT